AGTGCAATTTTACAAATTATATAGGGCGCTATATAAATGTTGTATATTATTATTATTATAAGTATACTATCATTTATCAATACGTCCGTCAGACTCTGTTGTATTAAGTTAACACTTGCATTTTCCTTTATTTCCGATTTGCCATTTTTTATAAGAATCATCTAACAAAGCAAACACTTTTTTCATAATGAACTTAGCAATAGAAAAGTGTTTTTCTGTCTAATTCCTGTTTTATCAGGATTATACAACCATTCATCTATACGTCCGTCAATTCTGTTTTATTCAGCCAATACTTGCAATACCGTATCTCCCGCATGAACATGTTATACAGATTGTCTAAAACGCAACGTTACTTGTATAATGAACGTTTAAATATTAATGTATTTATAGATAAATTAATGGATTAGGTTATACCCTCTCTGCATTTGTTAGACCTTAATCACGTGAAGGTAGGTGATCTGTGGAATTAATGGAGCTTTTTTTTAAGAAACAGTTGTAAAAATTATATTGATGACTTTAATTGTAAAGTAACAATGTCAAATTAGGTACTTTTCTCTTGGCGATTATTTTACGTTCCATCGTGTTTGATAATAAAAACAAAAGGATTTCTTTTCTAATATGTCAACTGTTGACCTTTAGTTCAGTGAATATGTTCGTCGTTATCAATATCGCTTGCTCAATTTCATATTACTTCATATAAACACTGATAAAAGTCAATAATTAATCATTGTTTTACTAACCAATAGAGCAATACTATTGTACATTGCAGCATCACTTTTAATGTGAATTTTGGTGTGAGTGAGATTACATACCAAATCTATTAGTTTGACTAATATAGTCAGATCTGTTTTGTAGAATAGATATGTTGATATCAGTGCTGAATATTGTACATCAATTTAACAGAGCTTTAAAATTGGAAAGGTCATGGTTAACGGTTATACCAATGTGCAAACTGGTTCATTTTGTTATTATACAATAGACGTTCAAATATAGAATGATATGCATATTCATTTATATGCTGGTGTATCATTTAGATGATCAATATATAAGTCACAATTAAGTTGCTAGCATGATTCCTTAGCTGATAAACTGTGTTATTGTTATTTGTATTATTGAAATCGATTTAATGTTTAAAGTGTTACAGAGAAGTAGCATTTATAGTATCTGCAGATAATAAGTTAGATAATTTTAAGATGGTGAGGGGAAAAACTGTTTCCAGTTCTAGTGAGAGGGGAATTGAAAATATGATTAAATTTCGTAATTGATATTTGACATTTATATTACCATAAATGAAGTAAAGTAAAGTCTTCTTAGTTAGTATGCGATTCGATCTTAAAATGCTGAACACACCTGTAAAATATTTGAAAGGACCGACTGTTTTTTCTTGATTTCAAATTTGCACAAAATGGCTTTTTATCGTTTATTGTATGTACATTTAAATATCGTAGGATATTAGTATTAACACAAAGGTAAAGTATAGTTCATATCAGGATTTTCTTTCCTGACAATCCCTCAAAAAGCAAAAAAGGTAGCAAGCGTCAAACCATCTGGATCACACTGATGAATGGATTTCAACTTGAAGGATTTACAAACATAGAATGATATGCATATTCATTTATATGCTGGTGTATCATTTAGATGATCAATATATAAGTCACAATTAAGTTGCTAGCATGATTGACACCCAAATGAGCGGGACAATACTTTCTCTGTCAGACTTACTGCCAGCTGGCGATACCCCGAGGTGCATGCAGCATGTGCATTCCCTGGTCAGCTCAAGCAATGCACTAGTGAGACCTGGTTAGATAAATTCCATTAACATTATTGCCAAGTTTATAAAACGGTAATTTATATATTTTTTTGTAATTTTTTATATAATTTTGTATATTAAAGAAATGTAGAATTTGATTAATGATTTGAGATAGGATGGATATGGGTTATAAATTATCATAAGCTTGTAAAGTGGATTGTTTTGTAATCATGATGATTAAGTATGATTAAATGACTACGCTTGTGCGTTTTGGACATTCAGTATGTCTGTTTTGTTACCTACCGTGGATTTATTTGGCAGAGAACAACTTAATAATTTACTATGTGGTACTACTAAGCTTTTGAGCTGCTATCGTTAATATATGAAGTACAACACAAGTTTGTGAAAACTGTCACGAGTCATAGATACATACCTGACAAAGGCTGCAAAAGGCGTTTAAGCAAATTTCGGTAGCCCGACTTTTTACAAAGCAGCCATGTTGACAGCAGACGACATAATCAAAACAGCAGGTGGCACAAAGCGCGTGGAAATGGTAGTCCTGTTTAAAGTTCATCTTCTAGACCAATCAATACTCTGGAAGGTCATATACGACATTTGGTGTATAACTCATATTTATCTAACAGTCTCCATGTTTATACTATGATCTGAGAGAGGAATAACACAGTGTATTGTGGTAGAAATCACTAACCAACAAAAAATATACTCTGGCACTAATACAACCATAATGACCTTATTCTTTGCCGCAACTGTTTCGAAGGAATACCATAATAAGTGTCGGGAGATGTGCTTCAGTTCGACAATATTGAAAGTATTATATATCGGAGGGTATATACGAGACATAGATGATATTGAATATTTTTTTTATGAATAAGTCTTGATGAATAAAAATGTATTGCGCTAGTGCAAAGCACAATTAAAAATATTGGAATAGTCTGCACTACAATTCAGTTATATGTGGTTTCAACGGGGAAACAAGGAAAGTGTCTTTTTGTATAGGACATTTTTTTCTTTATGTAAAACGACGAATATTGCTGCATACAAATGCAGGAATGAGAAGCTTAATATTTGATGCTATGTGCCGATAAAGACACTAGTGACAAAAGGGCATGACAATGATTTGGCAATATTACCGTTTGCTTCAATAATTGATAAAAGTCTCCAAACAAAATGTGAATAGATTGTCTACTTACGTCACGAAAACAATGTTTCTATCTAAGGTATACCAAAACAACGAGTTTTATTGTAAAAAACAACATAATTTTTCAGTAATTGCATTAAAATGTACCCTGAACGTCTGACATTCTGCTACCTCTAGCCCTCAACCACTGGGTCGCGGGTTCGAAACCTACGTGGGGCAGTCGCCAGGTCATACTGGTCGTAGGTCGGTGTTTTTTCTCCGATAGCTCAAGATTCCTCCACCACCAGAACCTGACACGTCCTCAAATGACCATAGCTGCTAATAGGACGTAAAACACAATCAAACCAAAATCCAAACTCTACGTAAAAGCCAAAATAAGCTATTCGGGACCTTAGACGAGTGCATGGTGTTGTTGATAGGGTAAACACTAACAATACTTCTCTACTTCCCGTTGTCAGAGTCCGTCGTGTTGCTATGTTACAGTTCAGAGATCAATCTGGACTTGATTTACCACCGTTTATTGACAGTTTTCCCTTCGAAGGAAATTTTCCTGTTCTTTGAACTTCTCCCTGTCTGCTTCAAGATTCCTTTATTTCAACAAGAAAATTGCGTTTTTTCTTCAAAATATTTCCCCTATATAATTTCTTTAAAGTTTATCAGTTAAAATTGAAATATACTGCACGCTTGTACATGTATGTCGGACAAAACATGTATCTTTTACCATCATGACGCTAGAGCCATGTATCGAAATTTTTAATTTTCCCCAAAACTGAGAAAGAGTAGATTCACCTAAAACCTACATTGACGCCTGTTACTACACAACAATCCGGTTACGTGTACGTTATAGCTGACATATATGTATAATCCGTTTTCCTGGACTGTCTCATGTTGTCGAAATGACGTCACAAGATGGTTATACTCACCACTGCATAGCAAAGCCACTATAAAGTTTAACCCTACCACATAAAGATGACATTTATATCAACAACGAATACTGCGGCGTAATCGGAACTCATCGGTGGTAATGCACACATTGTATCGATGAATTTCAACAAGAATGTGTTCTGAATAGTTTAGCATCATTTTTGTGCAAAAAAGCATAATGTCATTATTACTCCCTTACTCTCGTTTTGTCCGTAATTCAGTTAAGATTTTACCTTATCATTGAATGAGAATGTGTAAAATTCTGCAGAAATTCTGGTTCACAATGCAAAATACTTAATTTGAGCAAAACGTAGACATAGAGAGGGACCATTGTCATCACCTTGGCGTCGTCCCATGAATTTGTCAACCAAACAAAGGCCAGGGCAGCCATGCTTAATTGTCCGATCGGTAAGAACACTGCGTTATGAACATGCACACACGCATATACATACTGTGTTGAGTTCCATTGCTGTCCTTTATTTAGTTTCTAAGGAAACATTCGGAAACAGTTTGACGGGAAAAGAAAAAAAGAAGTACATGAAAATAAGAAAAAGAAAGAATAAGAACAAACAAACTGTATTATTAAGAAGAAACATAACAGAATCAGTAAGCTTCCAAATTCGTTTGAGTGACTAAAAATACGTTTGTAAAAAACACAATGCCACACATATCTCCATATGACACACCTTTGATACACCAAGGGTTACGCTCACTTTCGTTTTCTGCATCTTTTGAAAATGACATGATAAAATAGAAGCATTGAACCATTGGATGAGACTAGAAAACTAGTTTAATCCTTCGATGTACATAAAAAAGTCACAGTCTTAAAATGGTAGAGTAGTTGGATGGCTTTGGAGTCGGGCGTCGCTCCTCTGTAATCTTCCAAAGACATGTATGAGCCTAGTGGTCAGTCATTTTGTTTTACCTAAGACAAAACAAAAAGCTAGACGTGTGTCTTCAATTTTGCTATGACATAGTCCAGAGGTGCAGAGATAATGAAAGCTAGCGTAACCTCTGGGGTATCGAGGATGCATATGGCAGAGAGATTAGAACTATTTTATTTCGCGGATGTACATATCCACTCGAGCCTTACGTACACGATTGTCCATAGACAAGAAAAAAGAAAGAAAAAAAGTTTTATTTAGTTTTTATTCTATGTAGGATGTTTAACTGACAATGCAACGTTGTTGGAGCGAGAACATCATGTTAAACAGGTATAAACTGTCCACTAAATCTTCTTGTAGAAGTTGTTCCGAAGCGAGAAGTTGAAAGTGAGGCTGGAGTGCAAACAGAAACGTCTGTTTTTGTCACTTCCGGTTTAGATGGTTGTTTTTTAGCTTCTCCTTTTCGATGTTTGTTGAACAATGACACCATTGACACCGAACAACCGATGACAAGAAAGACCACGAGAGTTCCCGAAATTACCAGGAGTCCAACGTGAATGCAGATATCGTCTGTGACATCACCTTCAACGGCAAAAGTATAGGAAATACCATTCTCGAAATAAAATGGTTCAGTCAACTTCGGAATAATAGAGACTACTTTCACTAACGATCTCTGCAACCTTAGAACATGTCATGACGAAATCAAGGGCTGTGCACGTTCGATCGTGTGAATTATATGCACATTTAAGAAGACTTGTCTGCAAATCAAAAGAATCGGGCGGTCGCGTAACGTTGAATTTACCGACTTTGATGTTGAGTCACAAATATCTGTCAACTTTAGAGAACATGTATAAGCTTTGCGATTGGTAATAATTTTTGAATTTCCTAAATCCTATCAAGAAGTTCTTTGTGTCATCGATTTCGTCACGATATCTTCCGGGGATGAGGAGAGTTTAAGTATGTGGTTCGTCATTTCTAAACACTCTAGTATGGGGTTCGTACTTTCTGGACAGTCTAGTAGGAGTTCGTCATTCCTAGACACTCTTGTATGGGGTTCGTCATTTATAGACACTTACGTATGGGGTTCCTCATTTCTAAACACTCTAGTATGGGGTTCGTCATTACTATACACTTTAGCATGGGGTTCGTCATTCCTATACACACTAGAATGGGGTTCGCCATTCCTATACACTCTAGTATGGGGTTCGTCATTTCTAAATACTCTTATATGGGGTTCGTCATTTCTTAACACTCTAGTATAGGGTTCGTCATTTCAAAACACTCTAGTATGGGGTTCGCCATTCCCATACACTCTAGTAGGGGGTTCGTCATTGTAATACACTCTAGTATGGGGTTCGTCATTGTAGTACACTCTAGTAGGGGGTTCGTCATTGTAGTACACTCTAGTATGGGGTTCGCCATTCCCATACACTTTAGTATGGGGTTCGCCATTTTTAAACACTTTAGTATGGGGTTCGTCATTTCTATACACTCTAGTATGGGGTTCGCCATTTCTATGCACTCTAGTATGGGGTTCGCCATTTCTAAACACTCTAGTATGGGGTTCGTCATTTCTAAACACTATAGTATGGGGTTCGTCATTCTAATACACTCTAGTATGGGGTTCGTCATTTCTATACACTTTAGTATGGGGTTCGTCATTCCTATACACTTTAGTATGGGGTTCGCCATTCCTATACACTCTAGTATGGGGTTCGTCATTGTAATACACTCTAGTATGGGGTTCTTCATTTCTATACACTTTAGTATGGGGTTCGTCATTCCTATACACTCTAGTATGGGGTTCGTCATTATAATACACTCTAGTATGGGGTTCGTCATTGTAATACACTCTAGTATGGGGTTCGTTATTACTATACACTCTAGTATGGGGTTCCTTATTTATATGCACTCTAGTATGGGGTTCGCCATTCCTATACACTCTAGTATGGGATTCGTCATTTCTATACACTTTAGTATGGGGTTCGTCATTTCTATACACTTTAGTATGGGGTTCGTCATTTCTATACACTCTAGTATGGGGTTCGCCGTTCCTATACACTCTAGTATGGGGTTCGTCATTACTATACATTTTAGTATGGGGTTCATCATTTCTATACACTCTAGTATGGGGTTCGCCATTCCTTTACACTCTAGTATGGGGTTCGTCATTTCTATACACTTTAGTCTGGGGTTCGTCATTTCTATACACTCTAGTATGGGGTTCGTCATTTCTATACACTTTAGTATGGGGTTCGCCATTTCTAAACACTCTAGTATGGGGTTCGCCATTTCTATGCACTCTAGTGTGGGGTTCGCCATTTCTAAACACTCTTGTATGGGGTTCGTCATTTCTAAACACTCTAGTATGGGGTTCGTCATTCTAATACACTCTAGTATGGGGTTCGTCATTTCTATACACTTTAGTATGGGGTTCGTCATTTCTATACACTCTTGTATGGGGTTCGTCATTTCTATACACTTTAGTATGGGGTTCGTCATTTCTATACACTCTAGTATGGGGTTCGCCATTTCTATACACTTTAGTATGGGGTTCGTCATTTCTATACACTCTAGTATGGGGTTCGCCATTTCTATACACTTTAGTATGGGGTTCCTCATTTCTATACACTCTAGTATGGGGTTCGTCATTTATATACATGTTAGTATGGGGTTCGTCATTTCAATACACTCTTGTATGGGGTTGGTCATTCCTATACACTCTAGTATGGGGTTCGTCACTTCTATACACTTTAGTATGGGGTTACTCCTTTCTATACACTCTAGTATGGGTTCGTCATTTATAGACACTTACGTATGGGGTTCCTCATTTCTATACACTCTAGTATGGGGGTCGCCATTTCTATACACTTTAGTATGGGGTTACTCCTTTCTATACACTCTAGTATGGGGGTCGCCATTTCTATACACTTTAGTATGGGGTTCGCCATTTCTAAACACTCTTGTATGGGGTTCGTTATTTCTAAACACTCTAGTATGGGGTTCGTCATTTCTATACATGTTAGTATGGGGTTCGTCATTTCAATACACTCTTGTATGGGGTTCGTCATTCCTATACACTCTAGTATGGGGTTCGTCATTTCTAGATACTCTAGTATGGAGTTCGTGATTTCTATACACTCTAGTATGGGGTTCGTCATTTCTAAACACTCTAGTATGGGGTTCGTCATTTCTATACACTGTAGTATGGGGTTCGTCATTTCTATACATTCTAGTATGGGGTTCCTCATTTCTATACACTCTAGTATGGGGTTCGTCATTTCTATAAACTCTAGTATGGGGTTCGTCATTTCTATACATTCTAGTATGGGATTGGTAATTTATATACACTGTAGTATGGGGTTCGTTATTTCTAAACACTCTAGTATGGGGTTCGTCATTTCTATACATGTTAGTATGGGATTCGTCATTTCTATACACTGTTGTATGTTGTTCGTCATTTCTACATACTCTAGTATGAGGTTCGTCATTTCTAGATACTCTAGTATGGAGTTCGTGATTTCTATACACTCTAGTATGGGGTTCGTCATTTCTAGACACTCTAGCATTGGGTTCGTCATTGTAATACACTCTAGTATGGGGTTTGTCATTTCTAGACACTCTAGTGTGAGGTTCGTCATTTCTAGACACTCTAGGATGGGGTTCGTCATTCCTATACACTAAGTACGGGGTTCCTTTTTCAATATACATACTAAAGACCTCGACGGACTAAAGGTTAACAAATTAAACATCCATGTTTAAAGTGTTCCGGAACATATGCATAAGCTATATATCTGATATCTGAGATTTAGCTTAAAGGGGCTGGTCGGGGGGAAATGGCATCTTTGCTAAAATGGCATACACATGTTTAAAATACCTTCTTATGAAATATACCGATTCAAATTTTGCTGAAATTCACTCCAATGGAGTAAAAAATATAATTGTATTAAAGAAATCCTAAATCGTCACCTGACAGTTTAAACTCTCAATTGACCCAGATCAGTGATGTAATCTTACCGAACGCGCGTCATCAACAAGGCCAAATGTAAACATCGCGGCGAAAGAAAAAGATGCATGCAAAAGTCATGACAGGCACGAGGTATCAATACCGTTATATATAACAACAATACATGGGTAGGAATACTACACTTGCATCATACATGACATTTGAAAACAATTATGTACGTATAGTATTGCTGTCTTGTCCGCTAGTTGAGTCCGACATGGCACATGACGGCATGCTATTGTTGTTATCTTCACTGCCTCACTTTCGAAACAACCACGTGACATATATAAATAGATATGCGCTAAATTTACGCGGGGCTTCCCCGATATTTCAATGGTCAAAACTGGACATTGCAAGCAGAACTCGACCATCATATTGCCGTGGCATAACTGTTGGAAGGTCAGAGAACGCATTTGGACCCATTTATTTTGTATTTTTTCCCCAACCAGCCCCTTTAACATGCTTTCTTTATGTTCGTGTTTGCAATAGTATTCATGGTTTAAGTAAACAATATCTCACAAAGTTTCGTAAGTATATTTATCAATGAATGACGCCTGCTAGTGATGGGCATTCGATATATAGATACACAACTAAAACCTTTCTGATCCGATACCTGAGTTATATGACATCCTGTTTTATCTACACAAATTATGTGTAGTTGCCGATATTAATAGTACCTGTGTATAACGACTTCTCGTGTAAACTGTTGTGTTCGCTAAATATCAAATATCAACGATATCAGTTTTATAAACATAGCCAACAACTTTTTCGAAGGGCTATCCTTCTAAAATAATGATGAAACTAATACTGTAGTATTATAAACGCACCTGTTTCGTCAATAACAAGTGTATTTCCGACACCGATGACAGCTCCGACATTCATGTTTTCAAACGCAATATCGTCTTCATCAATCGTACGCTTTTTCCGTCTCTCAACAAACTGCTCATCTGGATCAGCACTACTCTTGATTTTTCTGTTTCCTTTTTCATCATTATCTGCAAAGCGTTTCCTTCTCCCATATCCGGACTCTCCATTAGCGCAATCCATCTTCAAATAATACAAAGCACGGTTTAATATTAAAAAAGTTGATTCTAAGCATTAAAGAGAGCACTATTGACACCAGTTTATGTGTTAATATATAAACGTATACTGTTAATCTCTAAATATCTGCGTGTTCTTCATAATGCGAATTATGCATGTAGGATGTTATTCGCGAAAACTGAGATAATACTTAGAGATTATCACACTGTATTTTCAGGGTTTGTCGTGAAAACAATTATCTCACCGCGAGATTTTATCTACGTGCGAGCGATGAGAAAACTGTTCGAACGACAAACACTGAAAATAATGTATGATAAACTATTTATCATCTCTATACTACTACCTTATATATAACTCCATTTAAAAAATTCATCTCAACACCATGTTTTCGAAATGACTTCTAAGCTCAATGGTAAACGATCGCCTGTGACAAACGTTAACAAATAAAAGTTTTGCGCGGAGGAATACAATGAACCTTAAAACTACGTAGAATTCTTTTTTAAACAATCCTATCGTCATTGGCTTAATCATATGCACATTTACACCTGAAATGGTGTTGTTATTCTCACAATATTTTTTCGTAAGTTTGTATTGATATGTTTATGTCGGACTATTTTCTTACTCGGATCACTTTTGTGTGGACACTATTTCCGGTTTCGGACGTCATCTGGTGCAAAAGACGTTCTTTTTTGAGAAAATACGTTCTCAAGCTCTTCTCAAGTTGTTCTCAAGTCGTTCTTAACTTCTTCTCATACTGACAACCAATGATAATGAATTTATCATGCTACCAGTAGGTGGTATAAATAGAGGTTGTTGAATATGGTATTTATTTCACTCGAGTTAGTTAATTTTCAAAAGTTACAAAAGACACGAGCTTTAGCGTATTGTGGTAGAAAGTTGTATGTAGATGATAATACTTTTTGTTCTTCGATATTGATAGCAATTATCTATGAAATAAATATTTCCGAAAAATCTCCATTAACGATTTTTTTCTCGATAATAAATTAATATGTCGTGAAAATAGAATCGTTTTTAGTAAACAATGTTTGCTTTAAGAAATCATACCAGTAGTACACACAGTATTTCTTTGTTAAATATGGGTTCAACACTGCGAGTCTTTCATCGTGAGAAAGCGTACCCATGACGTGAATTGGTATGTTCAAGAATGACTGTATTGCCAACACATAATTAAACTATATTTGAAATGTTAAGAAATTATTTTGTATAGAAGTGTAACGTGCCAGTTGGCACCCATCGAGCAACTGATCATGTCTGATTTTCCTAAGCGAGTTACAGAGGCATGCCACTTTGCTGTAACAAGCTTGATTGACAGAGGTGCAGTATTTTCTCCACCCCAATACTCTTTGGGTACGCTTACTATCAGTCTCTGTACCACTTGAATTTGTCATAATGCACAATTGAAGGCACATGACTAGCTATTCGATTGGTCTCAGGTAACAAAACACTGACCAATCGCGAGGCTGATACCTGTCCTTTATAGATTACAGAGAAGCGAAACCCGACTTCAAAGTCAGTCATTTTTTATCGTTACGCGACTGCGAGATTCTTTTGATGTACATCAAAGGGCCGAATAAGTCTCCTTGTCTCACCTACAAGGTGATACACACTGAGCCTTCGATTTTGCTATGACATATTCCAGGGGTGTAGAGAGCGTAAGTGAGCGAAACTTCTGGAGATTGAATTTTCTTCTAAAACTCAAAAACTACTTCATTCAATTACTTTGGTAAAATATATACTTGAAACTCCTAGTAAGAAAATTCAAAAACAGTCTACGAAGTTCACACTTACTTGGGAGCACGTGCCGAGACAAAGCTGAAGTGTACAAGAGAAAACCATGTCAACGACCCCGCCATTGAGGTCGGTTGTCCTAAAAGCCCCAAAGGAAGTAGCGATTACGCCCTGTACAGGATGGACAAAGTTCGGGAACAGCTCGGTATCCGTAGAACAGCTAAAACAGATATTTGCTTTTAAAAACATGTGTATCATTTAATCAAGCGTATATTAAATATAATACTTAAAATTAAATTGATTTATCTAAGCACTAATCATGTTAATATTTATTCGTGGGTTAACTTTGGCACCTCAGCCTAGCTGAACTTACATTGTATGACTGTCAGAGTTATCTCCCCTAATTTTTCCTCCTTCTATCTCAGAAATTCATGAATTCAACAATCATAATTTGTCAAAACAAATTTCAGTTTGTGTACCTAGATTCTATTTTCTGTTATTTAAACTTATGTCATGAAATGTTACACAATTATACTTTTTTTCTTAATCTAAACAATCAAAAATTAAAAATCAAATAGGAGTTGAACTTTAGGCCTCTATTCAGAAAGACAATGCTTTTTCAATGGAGACATCCGGTAATGTATACATGCCTATGCGCAGAATCGAAATGAGTATCGAATTTGTGGGCTGCAAATCCAATTAAAATTTAACAGGAGAAGATAATCCTAGTCTCGCAAAATCTCTAATACTCTCAGTCATAGCGCTCTTAGTGGAACTCTTCTTTCCGATTTTAACTGATGCGATGGTACGTATAACTTTAACGTGAATTTTGATATCTAACATCAAACATTTCTATATAACATTGGTCTATCTTCAATTGTTTCAATGGTAATGTTTTCATTGTTATGATAAAACTATGCGTCTTAACAAGTTAAATTTCTACACTTTCACAAATTATGAGTCAAAGTCAATGATATAAGATTTGAGGCTCCCTTAATTAGATTTAAGACGAATTTGTTGCAGATAATCCTAGACGTTTCGGTACCCGGTCGTTTCCGACAAAATATGTCGGTGTTTGTTTATGTAAAAACAAAACTGATGAAGATTCCTAAAATATGAAATAGCACAAAAAAGCAAGCACGGTACTTAGTTGAATCTTTCATGCATGTGGCAAAAATCTTTGGAATTAAGGGAAGTACCGAAACGCCTAATACAAGTACCGAAACGTCTTACACACTTACTGAAACGTCTAATACAAGTACCGAAACGTCTTAAACAAGTACCGAAACGTCTTATACAAGTACCGAAACGTCTAATACAAGTACCGAAACGTCTTATACAAGTACCGAAACGTCTAATACAAGTACCGAAACGCCTAATACAAGTACCGAAACGCCTAATACAAGTACCGAAACGCCTAATACAAGTACCGAAACGCCTAATACAAGTACCGAAACGCCTAATACAAGTACCGAAACGCCTAATACAAGTACCGAAACGCCTAATACAAGTACCGAAACGCCTAATACAAGTACCGAAACGCCTAATACAAGTACCGAAACGCCTAATACAAGTACCGAAACGCCTAATACAAGTACCGAAACGCCTAATACAAGTACTGAAACGTCTAATACAAGTACCGAAACGCCTAATACAAGTACCGAAACGTCTAATACAAGTACCGAAACGCCTAATACAAGTACCGAAACGTCTAATACAAGTACCGAAACGCCTAATACAAGTACCGAAACGTCTAATACAAGTACCGAAACGCCTAATACAAGTACCGAAACGTCTAATACAAGTACCGAAACGTCTAATACAAGTACCGAAACGTCTAATACAAGTACCGAAACGCCTAATACAAGTACCGAAACGCCTAATACAAGTACCGAAACGCCTAATACAATTACTGAAACGTCTAATACAAGTACCGAAGCGTCTTAGGTAGCAGTATACAGTGGAGGGTTGAGGCCATGGGGGATGTTTTTGTTAAATGGCTAACCCCTGTATAATGATATGTAAAAAAAAAAATTAAAAAAAAATGCACTAAAATTGGTATAAGCATGATGAAGTGGGCTATGTGAGCTTCACATGTGTAAAAAAAACGAAAAGATTTTTTTGGTTCGAGAATAAAATTTTGGCCATAATCCGAAAGGGTGCCTACACATGAAAAGCTAGCTTTACAGGAGGTACAATTTTGACAATAGCACACGACGCAAAATTGCAATAAATCAAGTTTTACAACTTTACTGGGACCCAGATAATTCTGCAACCAGGTAGGTAATCTTAAATTTCAGACAGAACTTCGGAAAAAAATAATAATTACGAGGTCAAATTTTGGGTCAAAAATAGCAATTTTTGGCATTTTTTGGTAATTTTTGATGTGGTAACCATGGTTTTCACACAAGTGACATACATAGAAAAAGAGGTTTATACACTTCTCAGTACTTTATATGTATTGTAATTGTAATGCAGTTTACAAATATATATACATGTATACATGTGTTGTGTAGGGTAAATCCGCTGTGTTTACATTTCCTCGACATGTGCCTTGTTTATCAGAGTCGGGCCATTTCTACTGTATAATGCTACCTTATACAATTACTGAAACGTCTTATACAAGTACCGAAGCGTCCTATACAATTACCGAAACGTATTATACAAGTACCGAAGTGTCTTATACCATTACCGAAACGTCTAATACAAGTACCGAAGCGTCTTATACAATTACCGAAACGTCTAATACACGTCTAATACAAGTACCGAAGCGTCTTATACAATTACTGAAACGTCTAATACAAGTACCGAAGCGTCTTATACAATTACCGAAACGTCTTATACAAGTATTGGAACATCTATATATGCGTTAAAAATCCAAACGTATAACCTTTTGCATTGGCCACAAACATTTCATCTGCGTATAAACGGTAAGATACAATATACTCACAAGTCTTCGATAACTTCCAATGTATTAGCTGTGCAATATTTCGCCTTCAAGTCGAGGTCCGCTATAATGATATATACATGAATACAGTAGATAAAAAGTCAAGTTTTCATCATTTGAGTATTCACTGTTCCCGTTACGTGGTCCAGAAAATTAACATAAAAATCATTCTTAAGGATTCCACAATTGAAAAAAAAAAAAAAAAAATTACTGATCGGGTTTTTATTTTCTTGTTTTCTTTCTTTCGAGACTCCAGGTGTATTACCTGATTTCTTACAAGAAGAAATATCTTGCAGAACTTTTATGAAAAATAAACAACAAAAATCAACAACATTGCTCAAGAGTGTACATATGAGTGACGGGAACCAGGATTCGAACCCTGGATCTCTGATCACTGTATTGTCACTCTAACCGACTCAGTTACCTTAATCACGGCCGAACCCTGGATCTAAGATATTGTCACTCTAACCGACTCAGTTACCTTAATCACGGCCGAACCCTGGATCTCTGATATTGTCACTCTAACCGACCCAGTTATCTTTATCACGGCCGAACCCTGGATCTCTGATCACTGTATTGTCACTCTATCCGACTCAGTTACCTTAATCACGGCCTCTAACCGACTCAGTTACCTTAATCACAGCCGAACCCTGGATCTATGATTACTGTATCGTCACTCTAACCGACTCAGTTACCTTAATCACGGCAGAACCCTGGATCTCTGTTCACTCAGTTACCTTAATCACGGCCGAACCCTGTATCTATGATTACTGTATTGTCACTCTAACCGACCCAGTCATCTTTATCACGGCCGAACCCTGGATCTATGATTACTGTATTGTCACTCTAACCGACTCATGATCAGTTACCTTAATCACGGTCGAACCCTGGATCTCTGATCACTGTATTGTCACTCTAACCGGCCCAGTTACCTTAATCACGGCAGAACCCTGGATCTATGATTACTGGATTGTCACTCTAACCGACTCTGATCACTGTATTGTCCCTCTAACCGACTTAGTTACCTAAATCACGGCCGAAACCTGGATCTCTGATTACTGTATTGTCACTCTAACCGGCCCAGTTACCTTAATCACGGCAGAACCCTGGATCTATGATTACGGTATTGTCACTCTAACCGACCCAGTTACCTTAATCACGGCCTAACCCTGGATCTATGATTACTGTTTTGTCACTCTAACCGACTCAATTACCTTAATCACGGCCGAAACCTGGATCTCTGATTACTGTCTTGCCCCTCTAACCGACTCAGTTACTTTAATCCCGGCCGAACCCTGGATCTCGGATCACTGCATTGTCACTCTCACCGACTCAGTTACCTTAATCGCGGCCGAACCCTGGATCTCTGATTACTGTCTTGCCCCTCTAACCGACTCAGTTACTTTAATCCCGGCCGAACCCTGGATCTCGGATCACTGCATTGTCACTCTAGGCGATTCAGTTACCTTAATCACGGCAGAACCCTGGATCTATGATTACTGTATTGTCACTCTAACCGACTCAGTTACTTTAATCACGGCCGAACCCTGGATCTATGATTACTGTGTTGTCACTCTAACCGACTCATGATCAGTTACCTTAATCACGGCCGAACCCTGGATCTCTGATCACTGTATTGTAACTCTTAACGACTTAGTTACCTTAATCACGGCCGAACCCTTGATCTCTGATTACTGTATTGTCACTATAACCGACTCAGTTACTTTAATCACGGCCGAACCCTTGATCTCTGATTACTGTATTGTCGCTCTAACCGACTTAGTTACCTTAATCACGGCCTAACCCTGGATCTATGATTACTGTATTGTCACTATAACCGACTCAGTTACTTTAATCACGGCCTAACCCTGGATCTATGATTACTGTATTGTCACCCTATCATACTCAGTTACCTTAATCACAGCCGAACCCTGGATCTCTGATTACTGTATTGTCACTCTAACCGACCCAGTTACCTTAACCACGGCCGAACCCTGAATCTCTGATCACTGTATTGTCACTCTTACCGACTCAGTTACCTTAATCACAGACGAACCCTGGATCTCTGATGACTGTATTGTCACTCTCTGATATTGTCACTCTAACCGGCCCAGTTACCTTAACCCCGGCCGAACCCTGAATCCCTGATCACTGTATTGGCACTCTAACCGACTCAGTTACCTTAACCACGTCCGAACCCTGAATCTCTGATAACTGTATTGTCACTCTAACCGACTCAGTTACCTTAATCACGGCCGAGCCCTGGATCTCTGATTACTGTAGTGTCACTCTAACCGACTTAGTTACCTTAATCACGGCCGAAACCTGGATCTCTGATTACTGTATTGTCACTCTAACCGACTCAGTTACCTTAATCACGGCAGAACCCTGGATCTCTGTTCACTGTATTGTCACTCTAACCGACCCAGTTACATTAATCACGGCCGAACCCTGGATCTCTGATCACTGTATTGTCACTCTAACCGACTCAGTTACCTTAATCACGGCCGAACCCTGGATCTCTGATCACTGTATTGTCACTCTAACCGACTCAGTTACCTTAATCACGGCCGAACCCTGGATCTCTGATCACTGTATTGTCACTCTAACCGACTCAGTTACCTTAATCACGGCCGAACCCTGGATCTCTGATCACTGTATTGTCACTCTAACCGACTCAGTTACCTTAATCACGGCCGAACCCTGGATATCTGATCACTGTATTGTCACTCTAACCGACTCAGTTACCTTAATCACGGCCGAACCCTGGATCTTAGATCACTGTATTGTCACTCTAGCCGACTCAGTTACCTTAACCACGGCTGAACCCTGCTTAATAGCGCTAAACAATATAAGGGGGATGTTACTCTATGCTGAAAAAACACACATTAATTTTTTGGGGGGACAAGGATCCTTAAGGGAAGTTTCGACTAGGGTTTTTTAAATCGATCGTTATATATAGCTTGTTTCACGATATCTTAATACAATTGTTAATAACAAAACAGGTATCAAAGTTGCTAACCAATGTACTCTGACCCGAGTTGAATCGACATGGTCAGTAGATCTGTAAGGTCCACTTGACCAGCGGTCACCTCCAGTCCATTTGTGTACAATGTCATCGTGGCAGTAGGTCTGACCGTCACGTTTATCCCTTGCTCGTCCACTCCTTCCCTACTGGATAAATATGTTCACGTGTTTAACGTTAGTAAATCATTGACAAACTAAGAGGAAACGCCTTTTCAAACCATGTGACTGAACTCTGGAACAATCTAACACCTGAAGTTGTAAATGCTCCGTCATTGAACTCTTTTAAATCAAGACTGAACCGCGTATGGAAGGAACACCCAGGCAACTTTAGCGCCGTATGCTACAGAGCGGGAGGTACAAACCGCGAGTGTGTGCTAGTTACATCAGGAGATACGTCAATAGTTGTCGTAGACTAATGGTATGACGTCGACAACGGTGAGTTAACAATAATGAGAGTTATCCCGCTTATTATACATGTCGCATGAAACTTGTCCCGATCATCGACACGAAAAATGCCACACGTCATTTCAAGATTCTTGAAAATATTTTTTGAATTATATATACCAAGATATTTTTTTTTTGAATTTCTTAAACGAAAACAACAATGATTTGTTTTATGACTTAAGCATAAATATAACGCTTTCATTTAATCATTACGTCACATTATTTCTTGCGGAACTATTTGTAAACAAACCGTCAATTATATCCATCCGTGATGTACGTTTTGTATTCCTGGTAGTTTACATCTGATGTATTGCTTACACAATCTACAATGTAAAATCACAACCGCAGATAACCATATACTAAGGTCTTATGAGTGTGAATAGTAAATAATGTAACTGTTATTTTCGCAACTTCTGTAATGTTGAAGATCATTGATTGACCCGTTAAATACAGCTATCTATTTGTTAGTTTTGTTTGTTGGCTTGGTTGCTTGTTAGTGGTTTAACACCAATGTCAAGGTAAGCTAGTTAGTTAGTGAGTGAGTTGTGTTAGTTATGTTATAAGTTAGTTGTGTTATGTAAGTTAGTCAGTGCGTTATGTTACATGTAGTTATGTTATTAGTTAGTTGTGTTGGTTAGTTATGTTAGCTAGTTAGTTAGTAAGTTATTAGTTAGTTAGTTAGTTATATTAGTTAGTTATTAGTTAGTTAGTTATGAGTTAGTTAGTCAGTGCGTTAGTTACTAGTTAGTTAGTTATACTAGTTAGTTAGTTAGTTATTAGTTAATTAGTTATTTATTAGTTAGTTAGTTATGTTATTAGTTAGTTAGTAATGTTTGTTAATTAGTTAGTTGTCAGACTTAGTTAATCAGTTAGTTATGTAAGTTAGCTATTTAAGCTAGTTAGTGTGTTTTGTCAGTTGTGTTATTTAGTTAGTTAGTCATGTTGGTTTAGGCAGTTGTGCAATTAGTTAGTTAGACTTAGTTAGTCAGTTAGTTATGTTAAGTTAGTTAGTTAGTTAGTTAGTTAGTTAGTGAGTTATGTTCATTAATTATGTTCGTTAGTTACATACATTATTGCTCAACGGCCCAGCAAAGGTGACGTCATATCGGCCCTGACAACATTTGTAAGGGACATTAACGAAACTAAAATCACCAAAAAGACGGTAAAAACTATACACATATAACTACACAGCAAAAAAGATCAGATATGATAAGTATACAAAGAATTAAGAAATTTCAAATTGGATTGTATAAGCCAACTTCACGCGGTGATTCGAAAATAGTTGACACTTTAATTGAGTGGAATGGTTGCCTATGGGAGGAAAGAACGAATGGAAGAGTGAAATAAAAAACAGTGCATCGCAAGTGTAGCGATGGGTTCTTTAAAGGAACTCGGGGAGAATTGAGGTCACATTGTTTAACAGCAGATTGACAGACAATGATCACGTGATCAAGCCACAACAGTTTTACATGTGTGTTCACTATATCTGCCTGTCGAATGGAACTTCATTCAGAAAAATATGAATGTAAAAACATTATCAAGTACAAAGGTTCTGACGCCATTATATATATTTATTTGTCATTTAGACGCTTTACAGTCCGCTTCAAATTAATCAGTAGATAGGTTTAAATCAAACGCTCAAGTGACTATAATACAGGGCAGTCATAGTCATTACTGGTTTCCTTGACAACAGACTTACAAAATCGCCGCAGTCATCAGAAAATCTGTTTATGACTGATGATAACATATTTACAATTTGAATAAACGAATCAAACGGTTACCGATTCCTGGATCAAGTGGAGGGTGGTCGATAAATAAATAGATAAATAAATAAATAATCTTTATTTAACGTCGTGTAAGTAGTCAACAACAACATAAACTATGTAGAGATTTTATTACGACGCCGCTTAGGGAACAAATGCTGTTTTCGTGATGGAGAAAAAAACAACCGTGCCGTCGGAAGGATAACAACTAACACTATTAGACATCACTCTCTTGTACCGCCACCGCTGCTGGAGATCGAACCGAAAGTCTTGGAATAGTGAGTGGTCTGAAGCTCATGTTTAATAATTGTACACATCAGTAATGACTTTGCGCGTTAACGACCACGGCTACCGAGGCCGTGCTTAATATATATTCAATTAACGATGGACTGTTCCCGCGATTGAGAAGGAAATGTATCTTCATATAAGATAATTTGTATAATTTACAGAAATGTTACCTAAACGAAGCAGATCAAATAACATTTGCTAAACCTGCCCATTTTTCCTTATAAATTAATCACTATATTAATACTGTGAAATACTTATACGAATTACAAAAAATGTTTCTCGATAATTTGCACTAATGTTCGACATTAATTTCGTACTTACGCAACCGTTTCGCTTCCGCTCAGCTCGATTGTGAAGTCGTACAGACACTGGACAGGAACCACGATGTCATTTCCGGTTTGATAATGAGGCTTCTTCTGGACTACCACAGAAAATGCCGCATACTAAGATAAAACAAATACAACAAAGTAAAAGAAATAAGTAAGAAGACAAAAACAAAATTATTGCACTGAATGCTTGAAATGATTCTGTCAAAAACACCATCTCGTCGAGAGTGTGCTGTACCGGGAATATCTGATTTCTATGCGTGGTAACAGGACGATTGAATGTTACAGTGAAGCCATTTCAGGACCGAATAATAACATCCATGATAAATCATACGTGTTAAATTACATAATGCATTATAATGATAAATATCAAATGTTAAAATAAAGTTATGTGTGATACTAGATCGAGTTTATCCGTAACAAAAAGGGTTGTAAACTTTATTTATAGCACATTTAGTTTTCTTCTTGATACAACTACCTGGGGGGAAACATGATAGGTGACAAATTTAAATTGAGTTTCGCTTATTGTGTTAACCGTCCAATTGATTTTGTTTTTATTTTCACGGTTTGACGCCCGCTGTAACGGCATTGGAGCCTTTCAGCAGACGACACCGTCCTATTGAAAGATATGGCCACATGCTTCTCTGTCTGCAATGTATGAGTTCGTACAAAAGGCGGAAGTGTCGATCAAAGATTTTCGTCCGACTTGAATATAAGCTTGAATTGCGACGAATATTCTAACACATTTATCTGAACATAAATTCGTCGATGGTATTAATGAAGAGAATTTTGCGGCAAATCCGCGGGAACCAATGTTCTTACTGGATCAATGCCGCATGCGTCGAAGACAAACTCAAGCTCTGTCGTGACATTGACTGTGTCCTGCTTGCACGTAGCTCCTGTACCCTTGATGTATATAATGCCGCCATTTTCAGCGCCCTCTAGCGTCAAGGATAATGCAGTCTCTGTGCACATCTCTACTTTGACTGGAACGTAAGCAGTAATTGTATTATTAGCGTTATTTTCCAAACGAAATGAAAAATAAATGCGATATTACGTTAAGAATGATATATACACGCGTGGATCGAACATGATTGAATAGAGAGTCACAAGAGAGGTGTTTTGAACACAGAGCCCATGCTTGGATTCTGTGTTTAAAACAGCTCTCTTGGGGGGTGTCTTTGCAGTTTCAAAATATAAAAAAATCAATGTTTTCTTCCTCAGTTTTTAATCCTAACCCTTTGTGCACATCTCATGTAACAATCTTGTTCGAGTTATCTCCCCTACTACGTACCCGATTGTTAAGCAAGGTATAGCGTGTAAACTAATTTGACCCTTTGAAGCACATCAAAAGAATCTCGCGTTCCCGTAACGGTTAAATATAATTGACTAGCTTTGGAGTCCGATGTCACTTCGCTGTAATCTTCAAAGGACAGTTATCAGCCTAGCGATTGGTCTTTTTTGTTTATTAATAATAATAATAATTCGAGGTTCTTATATGTTATGTTTTATACTATAGCTGCGCGGTGTGAACAAGATGGCGGATGTTTTTGTTTGACACAGCGCGGGGAAGCTAAAATGGGATAAACTAGCAGCTAGTAGCTGTACAAGTGATACGATATAGATTAAAAGGGTTACAAATTAAAAGCAATAATAGTAAATGCAGATAAAACGGTTAAGACTAAGGGTTAAACTACTACTACTGGTCTTGTGACACCAAGAACGTGAACGTTACATGTGGGTCTAGTCCGCCATTGTGTCGACCACTGCTTGTCTGGATGTACCCTGTACCACAGGAATCACTTGTAACGGTGTCGTGTGAGAAGGTTCACCAAGACTAGTAAAGTTCGTAAAGGTTGTGAATAGAAACTCAGTGCACGTATCCCTTGGAGCTTGTCACAGTCCGCCATTGACGTTCGGAACATTTTGTTATGTGTGCGGTACGGAAAGCGTTAATGACTCGAACAACTAAATCAGCCAATCAGCATGTGTTTCTTACGTTTGTAGTTTCTATCTAAAATAAGTTCCGGCTAATTACTGGGCCACTGAGGGAGTTTAATAAGGAAGTGATGACTTTTTTTTAGATAAATGAAATGTTCAGGTATTTCACTTTTATAAAATGTATACTTTTGATATATTGCCATGTTTGTGTGCAGATTTGCACAGGGGCAAAATGTCCGTGGCATTTCTGTTTTGGGTTACCGGTTTTGCTTGTAAACTTCCGGTTGTCAACTTTTTGGCGCTGTGACACTCCAATATGCAACGAAACCTACCAAAAACGTCATTTAGTAGCCTTGCAAGGTATGTATTTATGAATTTAGACAGTTGTCAATGGTTTTGAACTTCAAATAATAAAGTTATTACCTAAAATGTTTGGCAATAACATATAGTAAATTATTTAGTTGTGCGAGTCCTTTAATTGATCCGGAAAAGTATCAAGTTTGTTTAAGAGTGCACTTTATTGTATATGTAGCTAAGAAAAAACAAAACTGAGAACCTGACAAAATTTACTGAGTACTTAGTTTTCATCTTTTTTTGTCAGTTTTAAAAGGCTACCGTAGCAACCCTAATTAAAAACATCGCTAAATATCTTCATCGGTGTATCGAGGAATGATTCATATGTTTTATTGTACCATTTACGATGTTGAGTTTTGATTGACTAGGGAAAATGAGGTTCAAAAAGGCCCAAATCATACATTGTCTATTAACCCTTTCACCCATATGTAACTTTAGTAGACTCTACCATGCATTGATCTGGATGAGTCCATTATGGTCTACAGTGATGAAAGGGTTAAAAAAGGATGCTTTGTAATTTGCATTTATACTACTGGAGCGGTGGGGTCCTTTAACCAGCCTCTGACATATATTAATCATTACAAGGAAATATACATTGCTCCGTATAATTATGTTCCACTGAAACACATGTAAAACCAACTCACGCGCTTGTGAAGTGACAGCTGGTGACGTTAATTTTGATTGACAGCTCATTAGTAGTAACAGCTTATTTCGTGTGTATAATTCACCTACCGTTAAGGCCTAGTCATGTATGAGTTATTATAACGGGGTTTTTTTTTCGGCTAGTGTTTTGTCATGAGCAATGCATTGCTGCGTATAGATATTTGAATAAAATCATATCATAGAACATAATTGATTTCAGTGTCTTTCTTGATGGATATGCATATTTATTCAAAAACTTAGCTTAGAGGTCGTGATCTGATGATCGTAGCGGTTATTTATTACAAAATTATAATTTAATAACATTTTTGAGAGCAGTGGTGCAATTATGTATGCATAAATGCTTGAGATATCAGGAAATATTACATAACTTTAGAACACCCATTGAAAAAGGACTTCATGTCTTGTGCTATACAACGATGTGGTCCAGTGGAGTGGACCTATAGAGGTCCTGTACTGGAAACTCACTCTATGTAACTTTAAGAAAGAAACACTGAGTGACTCTAAGTAGCTCTAAGCAATAACTCTTATTAATTCTAAGTAATTATATGTTACTCTAAGTAAGTAACGCTTAGTAACTCTAAGTAAGTAAGTAACTCTAAGTAAGTAACTCGAAGTAAGTAACTCTAAGTAAGTAACATTAGTAAGTAACTCTAAGTAAGTAACTCTAAGTAAGTAAGTAACTCTAAGTAAGTAACTCTAAGTAAGTAACTCTACGTTAGTACATGCAACTCTAAGTAAGTAACTTTCAGTTACTCTTAGTAATTTTAAGAAATTACCTGTAAGTTATTAACTTTGAGTAAGTCACACTAAAAAAGTAACTATCATTAACTCTTAGTAGCTTTAAGTTAGTAAGTCTTAGTGAGTCTTAGTAACTCTCAGTAACTCTTATTAAGTAGCTCTGAGTAAGTAACTCTAATTCAGTAGCTCTGGATAAGTAACTCTTAGTAAGTAACTCTGAGTATTAACAATGAGTAAGTAACTCTAATTAAGTAAATTTAAGTAAGTAACTCTCAGTATGTAACTCTTAATAAGTAACTCTCAGTACGTAACTTTCAGTTCTCTTAGCAATTTTAAGGAATTACCTGTAAATTATTAACTCTGACTAAGTTACACTAAAAAAGTAACTCTCATTAACTCTTAGTAGCTTTACGTTAGTAAGTCTTAGTAACTCTCTGTAAGTAACTCTGAGTAAGTAACTCCAAGTATTAACTATGAGTAAGTGACTCTAATGAAGTAATTCTAAGTAAGTAACTATGAGTATGTAATTCTTAAGAAATAACTCTAAGTAAGTTACTCTCAGTCAGTAACACTGAGTAAGTAAATATGAGTAAGTAACTCTGAGTAAGTAATTATGAGTAAATAACTCTGAGTAAGTAAATATGAGTAGATAACTCTGAGTAAGTAAATATGAGTAAATAACTCTGAGTAAGTAAATATGAGTAAGTAACTCTGAGTAAGTAAATATGAGTTAGTAACTCTGAGTAAGTAAATATGAGTAAGTAACTCGGAGTAAGTAAATATTGGTAAGTAAATATGAGTAAGTAAATATGAGTTAGTAGCTATAAGTAAGTAACGTTAAGTAAATAACTTTAAGTAAGTAACTCTAAGTAATTAACTATCAATAAGTAACTCTCAGTAAATAACTTTTAAGTACACAACTCTGAGTAATTAACTCCAAGTAAGTAACTCACAGTAAGTAACTCTAAGTAAGGAACTCTGACTTATTAACTCTCAGTAAGTAACTCTCAGTAAGTAACTGTCAGTAAGTAACTCTCAGTAAGTAACTCTCAGTAAGTAAAGTAACTCTTCGTAATTAACTCTCAGTAAGTAACTCTCGGTAAGTAAAGTAACTCTCAGTAATTAACTCTCAGTAAGTAAAGTAACTCTCAGTAATTAATTATCAGTAAGTAAAGTAACTCTCAGTAATTAACTCTCAGTAAGTTAAGTAACTCTCAGTAATTAACTATCAGTAAGTAACTCTCAGTAAGTAAAGTAACTCTCAGTAATTAACTCTCAGGAAGTAAAGTAACTCTCAGTAATTAATTCTTAGTAAGTATCTTTTAATAAGTCACCATAAGTCATATTAAATTATAAAAAGAAACGAAATAAGTTCAAATATAAATGACACCTATTGCAAGTTACATGTTGATTTATTATATGTCTTCATATTTTCTCACCCGTTACGTGTTACATGTATATATATTTCAAAATCTCTACAAAGATAACGTTTGTGTTTAACCACGGAATTATATTCTTTTATGTCATGCTTTCACATATGTTCCATCCCAGACAACTAGGCCGTCTTGTGTGGTCAGACTATTGAATGGTTCAGTTTACATGTACTTGGTAAGTGGACTTTTATCAATGTTGCCAACAGTCCTTTACTATATTAGTAAACAAACGTGATAATTTAATAAGCAAAGTATTTATTTTCTTGGGGCGACCTTCTAATATCAATGTGGATGCAAACGTTACAAAGAAGAGAATGATGATGTTTATTTTATGTATGGATGTGTCAAGATGAAATAAAATAAATTTCAAATATGGGTTCTACGTTTATCTTTATTTTTCTTGTTCATTTGCGACAGTCTTAGTTTTAGTAAATAAAGTATATCGCCAAGCTGCTGGGTTGCCTTCGGCTCCGCCTCATACCAATGCAAATGGCATCGGGCAAATAACTAAGCCGATACAGGACTTAATACTATAGTATAGAAGTCATGTACACTGTAAGGTCGGAGATATTTCACTGTAGTGATTCATTGTAATATGTACAAATCATCTGTCTATACATAGTGCGTCTTGTTATGTTTCAATGATTGTATCGTCAAGAATAGCTGCTTCCCTTAGCACAAAAATGTCCTTAAATATCCCAAATGTTTAAGATATTTACAAATTTATATCAATATAATGCTATATATTCCCAAAGCAGTTACAGATTCAGTTAAAAAAAAGTGTGGAGAGTTATTTCTATGAATAATGTATAGTGTATTGCTTAGTCATATTTCAGTGTATAGAGTACTCTGTAATG